AGGAAGGAAGGTCTGAATAGCGACTACGCCGGTATTGCAAATGCTTTTTTGATATCACAGAATTGATCAATGAATCATCCCAATCTTGATTGTCAGCTCGCCTAATGTTCTGAAGATTGACTGGACTTCCCGGCTTCAAGCAATGACTAAAGTTTTAAGAGACAAAATTACACCGGAAAGTTCGTGAAGGGAGAAACCTTTGAGCTTCAGAACATCTCACCAAGAGCTTGTGTAAGCCTACGGACATTGGGTACTGAATGAACACAGCTGACATTTGAAAACGACGTAAAGGTACAATACAAACAGCTAGAAAATGGTTCAACGATGCGCGCACTGACGATATCTCCTCGTATGATGCCGAAATGTTTGCTAGCCGGTTGTCCAGATTCGTGAGCTGATCAACGGAAACGACTTTGCGGAAACGGCTACACTGGGTTGTCAGCAGTTACTGAGCTTCAGTCACTGAGGATAAGAAGCCTCGATGATGCTAGCGCCAGTCACAGCGAGCTTGTTTCAAAAGCTCTCCAAACCAGATCCTTGCCCCGCTTCCACCTGCACGTAATCATTTACAGGGTCACGGTGAATCGGCTACTCTACTTATTACCTCAGTGAACTGTTCGCTGTACCATTAGTTCATCTAATCGTGGCATTCAAATTCAGTCCACGTGTAATTTGCTCACATCCCCATAAGAATCAAACGACCTTAATTTCGAATAAAAAGATGTACCCGAAGGTACCTATCGCACAAAAGTCCTATCGTGACTTTTCTGAACCAAAGAACAGAAGAATGATTGATTTTGTGAGTTTTTTGTAATACACAGTTGAAGAAGCTAGAATGCTTGTAGCAAGTGACGAAAAACTGTCAAGTGCATGAATGCGCGAGATGAAATTGTACCATGTTATATTATTGTTGGGTCTCCGGAGACATGAGAATATGTTGACGAATCTCGAGGAGAATTAGGTCTGAGAGGTCTTCGTGACCCATTTCCAGAGGGTCTTCGAGCATCAGTTGGTTGACGTTTCGAGATTGTTCGGATTCTTGGGTCGGCTGCAATTGAATCCAGCTCGCTCCCACTAGCTATGTAGGAGTTTTCCACTTCTAGTTCGGTTTCTTCTTCGTTTGAGAGAATTGGTGACCCCGAAGTTACATTCCTCCGGTGAACAATATCTCTGTCATCGTCCCACTGTTGTCTGCCTGGAACAAATATTCATACGGAGCTGATATAGTACGCGCCAAAGTAAATTACGAGAGAAAGATGTTATAAAAGAATTATTCAAATGAATCAGAGGTTATCCTAGCAGGTTAACTGTGATTTGGGGTGCTTCACTAAATCCGTTGGTTGTTGATGGCTAATGCATGTGTTTTACTAGTCGGAATCAAACTCAGTGACTCGCGCTTCACTGGGAATGCGAAAAATCTCAGTACAAAACTCCACCAGAAGATCTAAAACAAAGCTGACCTGTAGTGGGCGCTTCCTCTGTTAGTCAACCGATCTTCATTACTTGAATGTTCTGATCTCAACACAATTTCTGTCTAAGTCAATGACCACTGATGCATTGGTAACTTTCGTACACAACCAGTTCACTATGACACTAGTTCAATATGGAAGTACAGATTGATTGGTATCCACTAATCAGCCCCCACGGATGAAGGAAATAGTAACTTTGTGGAGTTTGATGCATCGTACTTCTCACCTGACATTTTAAAAGTATCTCTAATCACACCAGCTGATTTCATGTGTGGTAAAACAAGGCATCCACATAATCAAATTTTTGTCATCCGTCGAACTTTTTTTCACCACTACGCAGTCCCATTGGGATCTCCTCAAACCTTTCGTCTTGCTTCTCTCGTCCTCGTCCAAATTTTCATCCGCTCACTTCTGATCATCATCATCATCGTCATCTCACCATCATCATAACTTGCAGCATTGAATCGTAACTGTGGGTGAGCAGCTACTATTGCAGAGTTTGCTTGTGTCATGAAGAGCTATCATCACGACTGAGGAAAGAATGAGGCGGAGATTTAGTTAAAGTTTTCCATTTAGCCAAATGAGTTTGTTATTAAGGGAGAAGAATGTTGGATGCACAGACTAGTAGCAATACAACGGCAGGTTACGCTAATACCATAGATTCACACAAGTCCCAAACTCTTAGCTATGGGCGGTTATGTGAATTCCTCTTGCCTTCTGCTTGACCCCAGTTGTCTCTCTTGCAAATTCCAAAGCTTTTGCTACTCACGCTGAGAAAAATTTGGTCGATGCAGGATGTAGAGATCCAGTGTCGGCGACTATACCCAATCACCAAGCGAACACGATGCTTCTACATGCCAGGTTTTATCGGAGAGAGGCTTGTTTGGCTTACTGGAAAGACTCGTTTTATGTAGTATTTCCTAATAGACACTGACCTGATGATGTCTGAAGTTTTTCCCGTTCCATCTTGGTGTTAACTTTACAGGTCAGTGCAATTCTCTGAGTACCCGTTTGTGCGTTAACGCTAACCGTATCAACCTATCTACATCCCATCAAAGAGGAAAACGACAAGTTTGTTCCTCATCTTGTCAGTCCGTGAGAGCATTGCCACTAATGGAGCTCACCATCTTGATCGCTCATGCCACTTTCCTCATCCGGCAGCCAAGCCTCAGCTCCCGGATAGTTTGCTCCTGTTTGATGCCTGTCTGTTGAGGCAAAACCTTGACTGCGATCAGGATAGTCTGGTTGTTGGGGCGAAAGCAAACCACCAAGTTCGTCTCCATTCATTGGTTGTGCATATTCTGGGCTGTAAAGTAAAAAAAAAAACAGAGATGCAGAATATAATGAAGATGGAAGCTGCCAAAAGTTTAGCGCCGATGTGCACAAACAGAACCAAGTGCTGAGTATTGGGTAGTTGGAAGTGCTCACAATATAATCTTCAAACTGGGGATAAGATATGGTAACTGTTGACACAAACTAAGGGACTGTCCTCCACTAAGGTGGGTGAACGTATGTTGAGTTAAACAGAGAACTCTAATTCAGGTCGGTTACTGCCTCGCAAGTGGTGTTCCTCAGTACAGAAATGAACCAAAGCTGTTGGGAGTGCGTATATATTTCATCAGTTTAGCGGAATAGAGAGTGCACGAACCGCACGCAGAGATATGCCATCACCCACCCAAATCTGTTTGATAGTAGCATATAACCATTTGAATTCCGGTTACCCAACGTAATTTAACGAATGAATTTGCAAGACGCTTTTAGAACAATGGTCGTTACCCCAGGGTGCACGCATCCTCAAGTAGGATCGTCTTCGCAGCGTCGCGAATATTTTGAATGTGAATGTCCACTTGGAGGCTGGAGTGGTCAATCGATGTCAAATATGTGGGGCAATATGGGCACATAAATAAAATATGTAGTCAACCATCATATGTTTCCTCCCATATCTTTGCATCCACCCCACAGTGATCGAACATGTATGGGTGACATTAGGGTAGAGTGTTCGGTATGTACACAACGGCTCGAGTAAACTACAAGTTAGTTCAATCGCAAGGTTCTAACCCTGACAGACAGCCCTTTTCAAGCGAATGGCATCCTATTTACGGTGTGGTGACTATGAGCTGATGTCTGGGCCATCTTGGAACGGTGAAGTAAAAATGTAGTTAGCCATGTGAGCCGATAGAGTATTTGAATGATGTTAACTGTATGTGCATGTGTGATAGTGTCGGGTTGAAGATCGGGAAGATGAGACGAATGGGCGATGCTGCACAAGAAGCTAAAGGGACCACACATGTCGCGATGACTGATCCACCTCACTTCGCAACTGCGCAAAAGGGGACCTGAAAAATGAGTCCATTTCTAGTTTGTACGTGGTTTCTGACAGATAGTTCAACTGTTGGATAGGACGTGTTTTCTTTCTTCAACGAGCTGTTTCGTTTTGGTCACTGTGTACTTGGTTGGACATGTGTTACCTGGTTGTGCAAAACAGCCAGGGTCAGCGGCCAGCATGTAAGCGAAAAGGTTGTGGTTTTCGAATGCCCCAGTTCATCTGATTAGTTGAGGAGGTAAACACTGCACACAGCTAAGAAAAATACACCAGTCGTGTCCACATCATTTCTGAACAGTCACGATCTGAGCCTAACTGCTTGTTCTGTGGGTGTAGGTTACAGGAGTGTGCTTTTAGCGAGCATGTTTGGTTTGCCTTTACTGTCTGTTATCTTGTATAACTGAATATAGACCACTGTGATAACGCTTGTGGGAGCAACATGAATATGAAACACCAGTGTTCAACAAGGCTGTTGCTATCAGTGTTAATCGAAACAGAGTAACAATTTTACTCAGGCACATTCGGGGGATCAGTAGACCACTCGTCCTGTGCAGGCACTGGCTAGTCCGAACCAGAGAAGAAGGAGGCGAGTTCGAATCTCGCTAAAGATTCGTGAGCGCTGAGTACTTAAGCTATCCAATAAGGGTAAAACAACTGTACAGTGTCTCCCAGATTTTCGCTATAACCAGCTTTATTTACGAGATAAAGTCTCCACTGAACGGTTGCCATACCTCCTCATACTATCATAACACTGTAAGTGACTCAGAAAGATAAATAATTCATAAGACGCGTAAAACTTTTAACTGAGTAACCATCGCTCAAGAGGCTAGTCAAATTTAGACCAAGTGATGTGGATTCCGTGACTGGAGAATGGGTGGCGCTCTACCCCGTCTAAGTGACATAGCTGATCAGCCACTCATGACTGAACAGTTTTGTTTCTAACTGCTAGCCAGAATATCACGAGTTCGAAGTGCCCTGACGATTCGTCAGATGTGTACTGCTGATGATCTTCACTAGGGACCACAACTGTACAGTGTTTTTGGCTTCTTAGCATGGACTGATTTCACCATTGGGACAGATCCTCATTGAAACTGGAGTCTATCGCTTTGGCCTAGAAGGCTACCAATCCTGAAATAAATCACCGGCAGAGATACCGTCATACACGACTTAAAGAGCATGGGATGGATAAGAAACATAATATGCAAAAACCGCTGACCTGGTAACCAAAGGAGCGACTTCTGGACCAACAGCCTTCTGTTTCACTGGAAACGTGCAAGAAATAGGGAAGAAGATTGATTGTTGTAATATTGATGCATACTGTGCAAGACTGAAATACAGAATAGTTCCCTGTTTATTTGGAGGACGCCAAGGAAGCACAGACGAAGCTTTATTGGCATAGCTGAACAATGAATATTTAGTGAAGACACTTCCGTAAACAGCTACGGTTAATTAACACCTAAAGTGATTCGTTTTGTCTGGTTAATTCAGCCACACACAATGAAACTTACAATATGAGCTCAGAAAATTGCCACCCGTGTGGAAGTCTGCGATTTCTACCTATCATCCAGCACCAAGCGTGTGTACATTTGCGCAAGCCCTCAGTGTGAGCTTCGATAACACGGAGCTCTACGTTTCTTCGTTTCTTTAGGATATCGCAACACACCAGGGGGTACAATCAAGCCAGTTCACTCAAGGTGTGTTCAGGCTTTGTGTACTCACACTTATCACTTCAACTTTTCGTAAATCTTTTCTATTCTCCGTCGATGATGATGATGAAACAAAGGTGTATATCCAGACTGTTCTCCTGGAAACCATTCCTAAAACGGATCACCTAGCTGACCGATACTCATTAGTATTCTGCTGCTCAGACGAAGTTGACACATGACGATCAGTCAGATAATGCGCTAGCTTCAGAAGAAAATCTCCTGAAATTTGAGGGGCAATGCGTGCAACATCCTTCCATCTACTCCGCTGCCCATGGTCAAGCCCAGCAACAAAATGCATCACACAGCGAATGCGACCAAACCGCAAATCACGGAAAACATCCACCGAGCCTCCTGTTAATCATGACCGGTCGTTAGGTCTCTGCTATCACTGATCACAAGAAGTTATAAGAGTTGCCTGGCGAAAAGGGAAAAATGATAGTCTGGTTAGCCTTACAATTACTTTCTTGATTGGAGGGCAGTAAAAAGTTTAAGTAGAATGCCATCTGGATCACCAAAGATATTGCATGAACGACTTTTCACAATCTGTTATCTGATCAGGAGTGGGAGAGTCCAGAAGGGGTTCTCTTCGATCCAGTGTTTTCAGGAGACACAGGCATAGTGAAACTGGCACCAGCAAGGTTTTTCCTATAATCTGAAACCTCTTAACTCGGTGCCCAGTGAAAAGCCTGCTGGTAGTCTGTCTTGCATCATTGGACGTATCCTAACTCATCCTTCCAGCTGTATTCATTGTCCTAAGCTTCTGTTGCTGAAAAGACCGCTGTCTCATAGTCTGGCTATCCTGTGCTCCGATAACACTATTTGAGGTGGTTAAAGTCGATGGGCAAACATTGGGTCGCTTACGATGATTTTCGGCCGAGACAAACTAGACGGTATCACTGCTCAGGCTAGCAAGGTCAGTTTGGTCCTGTGGCAAGGAAGTTGCGCTTTAGACTAGGGAGTAAATGGCTTGCATGCTGAATGGTCGACGGCTTTACAATGTTAAAAAAACTAGAGAAAATTGGAAATGGACCGTGTGTGGTTACAAGACCATCCGAATGGAATATCAGTCAGACCAAGTCCCCCGAACCAACCAGACAAAAAGGAACAAGATTAGATGTGGATACATAGCATACTTTAAGAACGGCCGTATAGGGGAACAATATTTTGCATTTCAGCTGAGCACTCAACTCTATCGATCCAACACTGACTCACTCCGTTTAGTCTTTGTAGGCCATCACCTGGCAAAAACAAATTTGAATCAGGATGTATCCTGGTGTCATGTTCCACGATGGACGACTGACTTTCGTCAGAGGCGGATGCCATTCTGATAAGAATTTGTGGTGCATTCTGAACCAAGTGTTTTTATCGCTGATCGCTTTCCCGAAATGAATCAACTTTTGTCTCATTCTCAAAAGCCAGAGGTTGATGGCGTTTCCTTCACAAGGTTACCAGGAAATAACACGAGAATGCTGGTTATACCCACTCGTCAGTTAGCCACAGCAGAGATGTTTCCGATGATTGCCGAGGTTCACCACCTGCTTACATGTAAGTAATGGGATCATCTGCGGATACGCTGGCTTTTTATTCAATCGAATTTGCAGCGCGAATTCCGCCTAAATATTTGCTCTAACTACTAGCAAAGATATCGAGTCTTGAGATAAACTTTACCGTGCATCTTTGGTTGGATTACGGCTTTACGGATTCCAGCTCTTACCGGCCCAAGCCATTTAATTGTAGTAGTATTCATCAGTTAGCCTCCAGATTTTCCATCAGAATGCAACTTGTGAGTAGTCATTTGGTGAGTAACCTTCTCCTGCGCCACATTTTGACTAAACCACTCGCTGATATAAATTCTCCAAATTCAGGGACAAAGCGCTGGTTTGCTTGGACTTACTGAAAGCACAAAACTGCAAAAATCGTCTGCAATAACTTGAAGCCCAAAGCAAACTAGTTTGCACTTAGGAGTGAGCACTCTGAACGAATGAGCGCGATAAATAGAGACTTCCCAGAGTATGGTTATTGTTTTTTATCACTTGGAGATGCAGGTTGCCCCAGAAATTTCAATCGCTTACTCGGGGTTCTCTGAGAGCTGTATAAAGCTCAAGAATAATTCTGCGAAAAAAATCCCATTTGTTAGGTAAATTACAGTTCCAGATTTCGGCACGGCTTCACGCTGATGAGAGTGGATAAGGGGAAGTCGCTTATATTTTGTCTGTTGGTTTACTTCAAATAGCCAATGATATTTGTTTGAGGAAACGATGGGTGACACAGATTAAACAATTCATTTGCTGCGGTTCGCATGGCCGAACCAAATTTGTGAATTTCTAAGATCTTAATTTTGTAAGTTGCAACTCGTGACAGACTTGACTATAAGCGGATCAATCGCTGGCAAGGTGAGGACAGCCAGCTTAGTCTTCATTTGTAAAATTGCACAACATCGCACGCGTTTATCAATGGTTCACTTACAAATCTTCAGTCTGTGTCGGCGGAGGAGGAAGAGTAGGATGAAGATGGCAATGAATACAGACAGGAGTACACAGACAATAATAAACCAGGTTCCGCTAGCCCCGGCCAGACTTCCTGGTCCTGGACCGCCCATTGTGTGAATCAGCCTGTCCGCTGTAGCTGTGGAAAGCCCTTCTCCGTTTGTCGCAACGACACGAACTTCGTAAAATGTATCTACAATGTGGAGCAAGTTACTGCCCACCGCTCGAAAACCGATGCTTACCAGGCATCAACTCTTCCACGTTAATGACACGCTGAACAAAGGTCCTTGTGGATTCCAGCCAATGGATGACACCGGGTTCTCGGTATTGGACGAAGAACACAGTGCCTGGAATCCCAATGTGACTCGGTTCATACATCACTGTAAAGTTGGTCATTCCGATATGGGTTACGACGAAGTTCGGTGGACTGGGTGCTGTAGAAAGATAGATGTATGAATAATGTTTTTGGCAGGGGTGAGTAGTCTCAGGTAAAAAATAATGGCACCTACCGACGTCACTGGGTGCAGTGGAAAAATCGATGAAAGTATCCACGCCAGTTCCAGCGGAAGTGAATGGCCACACTGTAATACGATAGCTGGTGTTGGGTCGCAGACCCGGTAGGCGACATTGCGTTGCATTCCCATCTTGCAGTGGTGGAAAACGAAAACCGAAGCCCATTTCTAATCCGTGTACTGTCAACAAGGAATAGAAAAGACTGAATGTGGCAAGAATGGAACAGTTCATGAGGAAAGCGAATAACGTTCATGAGATCCTAAGGTGCCCTAAAGGAGAAAGTGGTTAATGAACGGGATTTTGTTCAGTGAAGGCTAGATAGGTATTTATGGGCCTATCTCAGCACATGGATGCATTGAAATTTTGCTCAAGAAACCTAGAAAGATCTCACACAAATCAGCGAGCAGTTTGATCTTTATTGATGGTAACAATTCCAAACGGACAAATGAAGGATCATATAGCTTCCGAGCACATTTGCGGCGCTAGCCAGCACTCGTTTGACAGGATAATTTTCTGTGCAAGATCCAAAACGGTAAATTCTCATTGCTCGGGTTTGCCATAAACTGGTGAACTAGGCAGAAGGGTAATTTACTATCAGCTATCATCAACACAACTAGCGGTAACAGTAATACCATTCTCCTGTGTTTACCATTTAAGGTCAGCGAGATATGTAGTGATCCTTTCAAAGCAGGCAGGATTGAAACATCATAAAAATGTACAAAAATCCATCTAATTGGGACTAGAATCATCACGCCCGATATTCTAGCGTTCTGGTACAAAATTAACAGCGAGGCCATATAGTCCACACAATAAGAATATCTGGCTTAGAGTGCTCACAGAAGTAATTTGCATGTGCCTCCATCTTTGCGGTTGAAAATTGTTTCCGCGACATAAGAGCATAAAAAATTTTGCCTTGTCAACTAGCTAAATACCTGAAAGTGACGATTAACACTTGGGCAAAAACTAAACAACACGACCTGACTTCCACAATCAAATCTAATGGCATGAGGATAAAGCGAATAAATCGAATTTGCAGGTGTCCGACACATCGGAGTGAAACAATCGGCGATGAGTTAGTCAGAGTGCTGCAGCCGCAGTCAGAAGCTTTACGATAACAAAGAACCTGATGCTGCGCTTTTCGAACTCGAGCGAAGGTAGTTCTGACGACTACGTGTCAGGATGAAACGACTTTACACTTCTGCCTTGAATTCACAGACCAATAGTTGCGGGATAGCGTAAATGAGAGATTCAGTTGGATCACCGTTTAAGGCAAACTTAATTTGCAAGTAAGTGCAATTCACCAGCTTTACAATAGTTTCTCGACCACAACAGGGCCAAACTCTATCAGAAAGCCGTTTTCAACTCTCCTCCATTCAATGAAGGGTCCGCACACTAACACAGGTAAATACACATTTACACTCAAGGTCGCGTTGGAGACAAACTGATCTGCCTACACATAGTACGATGTTATTGGTTGGTTGCACTTAGACAGGCAGCCAAAAGACTTGTTATTCTATACCAGCGACAAAGGACAGTGAATTCAGAAATGCCCTGAACAAGAGAGCAAAATGCTTTATTAGGATGCATTAGAATTAGGCACTACGGGACATCACAGATGCCACACATGACAATGCAATAGGCTTCAGTTTCATTATTCGGGAATTTACTTTGAAGTCCCACTGGAGCGACCGTCTGGGATCAGTGCACAAAGGATGCAGCTGAACACCTTAGAGACGGTGCTAGACCACACATCTTCCAAAAATCAACTTATTCCGTCTCAGCTGATAAAGTTTTTTCCATTTCTTAAATGATGACAAGATGAGATTATAAAGTACATTGTCGGGTGTAAGGCCGGTCTCCTCTTTTTCACGAGGAGTAGAATACACTTATTAAAAGGTTTCTGCCTCCGATCACGCCATCTCGAGGCGACTGAATGCATAACTCATATCTTTCTTGTTCGACAATTGCTCCACTGATCTGGTATACTGAGTTTCATCACCGTGTCTTTCACTCAGAAGAAAATCTGGTGTATATCAACGAAAACCTTTCAGTGAATCTCCTGAAGAAGTGGAATAACTTCTGGATTATAACTACGGATGGCAATACTTACAGATTTATCATACAGAGGAACCCTTGGATAAATAAAGAACCGCAGTGACCACAGATATACTAAAAGCTCAAGATAGCTCAGTGGTTAAGGCGTGGACTTGCTGACTGAAAGGCCCACGGTTCGAACCTGATCTCAGCATCTTGACTGCCTTTGTCTACACCAGGACAATCTGGTAGTATCTAAGCCCTTACGCCTCTCTGGGTGACATAGCAGCTGGGCACCAAAAGGGTGTTACAGCTGAACAAGCATTTTATTTGTTGTACCAGAGGTTATACCGGGAAACTGAGAAATAGTCCTGGCCAAATTGGGTTCAGTAAACAGTTTAGCAACGGTATCACACAGATATTTTCTTGAAGGCGGCCAAATCGCCAATGTTTTCCAAGTTTGCGAAATTCGGATTCCAAATTCTTTCACTTTGGGGCACACACTCCTTTTGTATAACCAGTCGCTTAGTGTACAACACTACATTAATAAACTGACAAACAAAACCGACCATTTCTGCTAAGCTCAAAGTATCAGATACAACTGGAAAGGAATGTGGGCGTTTCGCGGAATTCTACAGGTGTGCGAACGGAATAATCGACAAAATTAGGTCCCACGTGAGGATGGAAATAATGACCAACTATGAAGAAAGTCTTGAGACTTGGCTGACCAACAAATTCATCGATGACGGAAGCTTGCCGAATAACGGAATGAAACCAGCAAAAACATTACCCGAAGTAACGTAGAATTTAGGAAACCATTCACCCTAGGGTAGTTTTTCTATTGCGGTTTAGCTAGTACCGCAGTTAAGAAACGTGACATATACGCATTTGCTTATCAGTTTGGTTCTCACGGTGGACTCAAGTGGAACATAAAGTTGGTGGAAACTCAGAAACTGCACCCTCCCGATGAGCCTCAAGAAGAGGGCTGTCGTGTCGAAGGGTTTTCACCAATCTTGTGAGTAGTTTTCTTTATGGAAAAAAGTGTCATAGTTGGCCGCATTTGGAAGAGCCTACTCTCTGTGTGAAAATTTAGACTGACCATTTCTCAACATGAACGTGAACCACTCATTACGTGACTAGTTCGATACGACCACGTGGCCAGTTTGCGTCGACCTTATGTGAGTTTTGGATAGACTTATCGTTTCCTACTTAATTCATTTGCACTGAAGCCCGTTTGGGGCCGCTATCACCTGAATTGGTGCATAGAAACCTGCGTAAACTCAAGATCTGAGTTTTATTTTGTATTGTATTATTTGTATTTCGTATTATTGTATTGTATTATTTTCTATTGTATTATTGTATTCATATTACCTCATTTGTTGGTAGACTTCTGTTTGGAAGATTGGAGTTTCGGGATTTAGCACGTAACTCAACATTATCGAGCTTATTTCTGGACACATTAACAAAGAATAATCCTTATTTAGATTTCAAAATGAAGAAAAGTGCCGAGTTACTGATTAGGATAATTTGGAATTCAAATGTTTCATTCGAGCTGTTTTTCAACCCGGTGAGAGAGAGAGGAGAGAGTCGAGAGAGAGAGAGAGAGAGAGAGAGAGAGAGAGAGAGAGAGAGAGAGAGAGAGAGAGAGAGAGAGAGAGAGAGAGAGAGAGAGAGAGAGAGTCGGCTGACAGAAAGTCTTACCAAGCTCGAAAGACAAGTAATCCCGAATCGTGTTGTTCAGGCTAGAATCTCTTACAGCTATTGTGCAACGAATACAATAAGGGACGAATACGTTCGGTTTTTTGTGAACAATTATGTTGAACTACACTCCATTGGGCTTGGAAACATTTTGAACGGCAGTTATTAGCCGAAAATGTGATTTCAGCGGTATCAGCTATTGTTCATTTTTACGGCTCGCTTGGGTCGACAAACAACTCCACACTTTGCTGATATTTATTCAAACAGTCTCAACATAAACAGATAAGTTTTAGTCTATCCGACTAAAGTACCCAATCTACAGAATTACTCTCAAGGCACGGTTTCACGGTGACTGTCCGAAATTGGTTTGGACATAGTACAAGCTCCGAATCATGTGTGTGGAGCATCATACAATAGAGCGGTGGATGGATCGGTTCCGCGCATCAGACACTGTCTGTATACTTGCAATATTCCGGGATAACTTCTGAATTCACTTAAGGGACAGCACCTAGGTTGCGAGGGGTCCAGGTTGCAAGAAACAACCAGTTAGTGTGCGGTGCAAGTAACCTCACCATTGTCACTTCCCATGATGTGACTCGTTCACCTGTTCACTGTTTTTCGTAAGACAACTTGGACATCGATTGTCTGGTTTGATGAACGGCGAAGTCAGTTTTGTATTCCTGGCGTGTCACAGACCATATAGTTGTGATCAGCAATATCAAGGTTGTAGTGAAACCCTCTAACAAAAAACTAGGGTGTTCTTGATGGAGCCATGTCGCATTGCACTTTCCACCCTAGAGATGAAGAACAGTTGAGTACTGGTGCGGCTCATAGTTCAGTGAGTTTAGTGGGATTCAGAAGAAAGAAACGTTACATCATAACAAAACTGGGTAATATAATAATTCGAAAGTCAATATTTTAAAAGTAGTTGATACGGGTGTTGGTAAGAGCTTTATTCTCTTTTCATAGGTTATGTATGATGGATTACCATAATAGTCAAACTAAGTAACAGTCAATGAACTGGTTCAGCAGTCATTCTCTGTCGTCCACATATACCAGGTGCGCAGAAGCCAAGGCAAGAAGAAAATGGGCTCACAGTGTGACATCTTAATGTTACTAACAAATACAAGTCTTCAGGTAGCCTAAGTTGAAAGGTGGTGTCTCTGAGAAAGCGAACAGTAAGACACATGTCAAAATTTCGACGATAGTACAACGACCCAATGACACAAATCGTTTTCCAACCCTCCCTCATAAGACCACCACCATACACAGACCACTTTTTCATTAAGCTCATTTTCCAATCCACTGAAAAAAGCCAAATAAAACTGGTGCATTGAAGCGATTGCGTTTTGACTGGTCTTACCGTAGAGTGCATCAGAAAGTGGCAATTGGCTGAGATTGGAGCGTAAAATCGTCGTAAAGCTATCTCACATCGATCTCAGGAACCGCGGCCGAATCCAAAGAATTTCATTTTATGCTTTTATCACCGAAACTATTGATCATGTTGAAATGAAATTATCCTAATTTTCGTTAAGTGGATTTATGGCTACCGCGCTCTCTGACAGTGACAAGATCGATCCTTCGCATCACGTGCTGAGCTAATTAAGATGAATCAAGAATTCACTAAAAGCCGCGCTTACTTAGGATATAAAAATTCCACTCAAATCCTGTATTAGTGGGAAAAGGAATTGTAAATTACTAAAAGTCAACCATCTTTCGCACACTATGCGTTCATTGCTGACTCATCCTACGCTTTATCTATACGGAAATATTTACTTATTCAGTTTTCGCAGCTATGTGAAGCTCCGATTGGTCCAAATATTGAACTAGCCAAAATACAGTTGTTGGTTAGTACTGGTCTTCACTAATGGGAGGACCTATGCGTTGGAGTCATGTTCACCGGACCGGCTATCGTAAGAGCAGCATATCTTGAAACTGATTTCTCGAGGAGGCACAGATATTACACAAGGGTTTGCTCTACTGTGAAGTCTCGATATTCCGTTATTATTTCCGTGTGAGTATATGCCGCACCCCAGAAACAGTCCTTCAACTAGTGGTGTAGGCTCCGCTGATAAGCTGATTTTGTTCATAGTACACTTGTCCAAATTTAGAGGCTTTAACTTGTTGCTGAACCTCACATTTGCTTTATGGGTCCGTCTAGAGGTGATCACTTTTTCGGTCTCTTCAAGTAGTCCCCAGGAAAATAAGTATAATACTTATTTGCCATGAAGGTGAAAGTCATGCTGTTAGGCGTGATTACCTAGAAAACCAGGAGTCCACGTTGACATTTAGAGACTCACCAGACCATGTGAAAGCTGACTTAACAGGGTTTTATAATAATCTTTGTTACAGTAAAATTCACATCTCTAAAACTTTGTGGATTTTTATTGATGAGAGTCGGGGAGTTGCTCTTCAAAGTCTATCACATCTGGCCAGATCCGATGAGATCCGAGTGAAGTAATCTCTGTTTCAAGCTGAAGTCGAAGCATGTTTGGTTAATAAGAGCTACGGCAGTTTGGAGTTGCGTTTTTGTAAAGTAGCTCCTTTTTAGTGAAAACCATCGTGGTTGGTCTGAACCTTCATGAAAGTTACCTGGAAAATTTTTTACTGAACGAAATGGGACTTACATTCTTTAGCTTCGAATTCATAGCCAAGCACGATTCCGTTTGGTTCAGCTGGCGGAGTCCAAACGATATCGGCGTATGTCACCCCAATAGTTACAACTTGAAGGTTGGCCACAGGGCCTGGGGTATCCTCCAATGTATTCAGACTTATCACGGGACTGAAAAAATGTAAAACCGTGACCCTAAATGATTAACGATTCACATTTACTTTGATGTATGAAATTCTCATATTTGAAACCACCATCTAAGGAAGAGCTTGAGGAAATGAATGGTCTTGCAAATTTCTGTAGCTGGACGTAGCTCGCATTGTTTGTTTGTTGAAAAAAGCATCAAAGTGCTAAGTTTTGGTGAGGAACGACAGAACGGTTGGAACAATATGCGCACCTCAAAGTTCAAAACGAGAAACTGCCGATAAATATTGGAACAAGGTCCAGCCGACAAGATAGAGTTTACACTTTCACGGACATGCTTTGTCCAAGAACCACAAGATATCAACATACGGTTTGCCGAATTGCGAAAGTCTTGACGGTTCTGAGAAACCCAACATTTTTTCGTGGATATGTATCCAATGAGTGGTCGTGGTGGTGTTTCAGATTGGTTTGTGACCCTATGGTGGTTGGGAAATAAAAATTTTGGGGGCTTTGTTTTACTCAGGATCAAATTAAATAACAACTCAAAGTAAGCAACAGTATGTTTGCTTCCAGGTGGTTTTGATGATAGCAAGGATGTGCAGTGATAAGCAAAATGTCATTGAAAACGGTTTTCCTAAACTCTTTTTCTGCTGACATTGGAACCTACCTCATTGGACCCGCAAAGCGCGTATTTAAGACGCGTAACCAAACACGAACGGAGGAATTCCCAGGAACTCCGGTTAGTGAATGTTCCACAACTTGTCCCCAGACAAATGTTGGAAGGTCAGGAAAATCACGGACTTGCCGGGTCACCCTTCCGAGTGTGTATGCGTAGGCCTCTCCCATTATCGAAGGGGATTGTACCGCTCGAGGAAACCGCCCAGTTCCGGGGCAGGAAATGTTTCGAATGGGAGTAGATCGACAAACCTGAGTGTGCACGGGTGTATATACATCGGAATCACCTTTGCGGTGTAGCTCGGGAAGGTATCGCTCCAGTACCGACTCGGTAAGATGACTCTCTCCATCGGATGACAATAGGTCCAATGGTCGTGTGTCTTCAAAGTCCACAATAGACCGTCGACGGCGGCTATAAAATACAGGCGTGTCGGGTATCTTCAAAATGACATCCTGAAAACGCGTGTAAAGATAGAAAATACAGGGACGATGAGGAACCAAGTTTGTCATACAGATGACTAGACGTACATTACAAGAATGAAAATTCATATCCTGGATGCGACTTTTCTGCAATAGTATTGTGGATCGTAGCATCACTTCCTCCCAAACGACAATCAACAACTAATCCATAGTTTCCAAATCAACTGTGGCCATGATTGCACATCAGAACGTACACCTACAAGATAAAGTATGTGTTTTCCTTGCCCTATTTCCCACCCGAAGGAGCTAAGATCAAGACGAAACTCGTCTGTTGCCTCAGTCATGGCATGTCTAAGGTTATTTCAGCCTACTGGGGTGTGAAAAACACAGGTGCATTTTGGAGGCATTGAATGTAGGCTTAAGAAGCCAGAATAATACCAAGCCTAGACAGTAAACTTCCGTACAGCTCAGCCCGCGAGAAACCCAAGAACAACGTCTAAATAAGGGATAAGGGGAGTGGAAGGAAGCTTGACACACTAAGTCGATAACTGTCCTACCCGAGATCCATTTTATTTCAATTATTTGTGCATGAGCACCTGATCTGGAACTTATCAACGTCAGAAAGCGGTGTTTAACTACGCGGTCAAGAGTTGGTGAATGCAGGTGACCCCGACTTAACGACTATCTACTTTGAAGTGGTACTATGCACTATGTAGGCCGACATGGGAATACCTACCGGATGAAAAACTGCTACATGACTGGTAAAACACGGGAAACAATGGACGATATAGGAATAAGAAGGAACACTCCAGATAACTGGAAGCTTTAGCATGAGGTGAAACCCCTAGCAAAACATTCACGGACGCCAAACAGATCTTGTGTGGAACTGGATGGACAAGACAACAACTCTGGAGCCCGTTGCAGAGTCCTTTGAATTGAGAGACAACTGTGCACAATTTTTTTCAGCGGGTGTGCAAACTCACCACTCAGATTGTCAGCTTCACTCAGAGCTGAGCTGGAACTTTATTGACAGTTCTTATCCCTAGATGATCTCAGGAGAATCACAGTAAAATTTGACTAGACATACGTAGGGTGGTAGTAACAGATTCTTTTTTGGTGAGCACTGCTAGTCCATGCAAGTTGTGTTAATCAACTGATACTGAGGAAAAACCAGCGAAGCAAAGGTGGAATATCAGATAACAAAACACTTTAAATGCCATTTACTACATGTAACTATAGAGAAAGTGGGAGATCTTTGAGTCCCGCAAGCCGTTTTTTCCACACAAATCCACCGGTCGAGCCTGCAGATGATATACTGTTCTCAAGAAACCAACACAATGATCATGTGGACCGACTGAACTGGCACATTACCTCAGGAGACGCAATCAATGCCAACCGCATTTTGCCTTGACAAGGACCGACCGAGTGTAAATATTGCCAAATAATGTAACACACAACCGTGATCACGATGATCAAACCTCTCTTAGAGAGAATGTGTTGCACGAGGCGACTCTATTCTGAAATTTCAAGTATGGGATCACTATTTCTAAAAAGAAGATGTCCTTCGAGTTCCGTGAATTAAGTTGAGCCCTTCGAAATCGGGTGTGTTCGAATCCCATAGATGTCTGCATTCAACTTATTTGGATGAGGCAGATTTGTGTAGACCGCCACCAGGTGTGTCATCCGATCCATGCCACGTGTCGTTAGACTTCGCACTCCTAAGTTTAAGCATGCCCTTTTCGATTCCATGCCAAATTAAAAACAGTGTGTAAAGTTGAGAAAGAATCCCACAATGAATTAAGCAAACATGGATAGATTTGTTAACAATCTGGACACCTTCGGTGCCAAGACTAGGTACTCATCACAGATAGTTCTGCATACAAGCGAACGATTTTGCGAGGACTCAATTAAAGGGAAAACATTGCGTGAGATTACTAGGGACATACGTATTTTCTAGTGCATGAGAAAGGCTTTTCGACTGATCTGTGTTCTCACCTGAAATCGCGTTTGTTTGTCACACTGAATTGCGTCCAGAAATGCATCACACCATTCAATTCGGTAGCCACGAAAGTATCCATTCACCTGAGGAAGTTGCGCTTCTGTTATGGCTTGCCATCTGAGAACAGCTCCTTTTGAAGTTGCGTTGACCAACGTCGGGCTTGGTGGTACTATGGTGGGCACAGCCTCTCCGGAATGGCCAACTGCAAACGTGGGAGGTGCTGTACTCTCACCCTTTTCGTTTTGGCTTTGGATACTCACCTGAATACGAAAAGAAAAGTTCCATCAGCAATCCGTCCAAATTGTACATATCCAGACAACAATTTTACAGTCGCTACCGTTAAATTGGTGCTTTCTTAGTAGGGTGATGGAAAATCAATATGAAATCCAGAATTGCTGCAAAACACCTATAAAATCTTCTACGTAAGTGCATTTCATAAAGTGCTATATAAAACCTAAAGGTCAATAGTTGAAATCCACTGTCCGATTGTCCCTATGCTTGACAACATCCCAGCCTTCTCATTCTATTCACAGCTTGTGACAGCCACGCACCGATTACGAGACATGGCCACGTAAGTTGACTTTCAAAAAATCGGTTGACGGTTTGTCACTAAGGTTTTAGAGAGATCCCTGCAGACAAAGATCATTCCTAAATATTCCAAGACATTGTTTCGATCCTCAGCTAGTCAACGTGCGATGAGGATGATGACAATGATCCTGATGCTGCTACTGATGATGATGGCGATGATCATGACGGTGATGATAATGATGAAGAATTTTTCTCAGGTTGGACTAGTCACCCGAAGTTTCATGTTTGAAGAAGCCTATTTTTCGAAACAAAGAGGGATAAATGCCACGACAAAAGCTAGTTCCGAGAAGTCGACTCACGTGCTAACCTAGTCTTCTCGTCAATACGGCTGATTCTGGCCCTCGAGTACTCCCAGAATGTTACCTGACTATCATGTAAGTTAGCTGAAACGGTTTTTTGTGTAACATGCGTATTATCAGCATCTGGTAAAATGTCTGCAACACACTGACACTGATTTTCAGAGTAAAAAGCACTGTAATGACAGGTCGTACGACATCACAGCTTTCCAGCCGTATAAGGGTGCACTGTTCATTCCGTTCACCCCACTTTCCAGTGCCTGGTGGGAGCGCCACAGTTGCTTAATGAGGCCACAAGATAGATTTAAGGGAAGCCTTTGGTGTGATCTACTGGGTCACACACAGTCCCTTCACAGCTGCACGTGCACGCAGCTTGAAGATTGTTACAAGCCCCGAACTTGAGCAGACCGGTTAATATGGTCTCCAGATCAAGGCATGATGAACGTTTGGTTGAATAGTACGTCAGCCGTCACTTGACAAGAGCAAACTGATCTTTTTTGTGCATAAATACGTAAGTACGTCAGGCGATTTTTGTGTCGATCTCTTTACTGTAACCTGTGGTTCTCGACTTCTATAGTTAAAACGATATGAGGCAGGTCCGTTGAGGGATATCCATAAGCAGTTTCTCTCCTTTTATTCGAATAGAATTATGGAAATTCTCAGAGCAGTGAGATACATTGTAATGTAATGAGCAACATTCTGGTCGAAAGTTAGAAAGAAGAAAGTACTCTTAATGTTTTTTGCAAAAGTATCAGCCTACAATTAAGGGAAAACAAGAGCTATGTGTCACTCTTTTTTGCGGAAAAAAATCCGACAGTATCATATGTGTATCAGAGTTCTCTGAGTGCGAGCACTGGAGTGACCGGTAACTGTATTCCAGACATCAGTGCGCGCAGTTACTGTGCTGCATCAGTAGAACCGCAATCTGTGTCATGCTTCTACCTGACAAGGAGTTAAGTTCCAGTGAGAATGGCGACTTCTTCATTGGAATTCCCCGCACGGTTTTCGCAGTTTAGATGAACGATGGAATTATCATCACTGAGTAGTTCAGTAATCAAGTTACGGTGCGAGCTCCGATGCACTGTGCCAAGGTAGGCCGATATTTCCAATCAGTCCTGCGGCGTCTAACCAGTTCGCTTCCGATAAAGCGAACTCGCTTGTTAATTCAGGCTCTGAGTTTCGTCACGCGAGGGCCGGACTTAGTTAGTTGCACCACCTTGGAATTCCATTTGGAAAAACGATGGTGGATAGATGTGCATTCCTCGCACTGATCGGGAAAACGCAAGTCTTCCACATGAGCCAAACTGGTAGTTCCGCCGTGCACTATCCCACCTATGGGAGTTAGCACGACCCCAGAATTTAATGCAGCTAGGCCTTCCGAGGCCATAGATGAACCGTAGAAAAAGGGAACTCAGCCGAAAATTCCAGTCATTGTGCTTCGGCGTGGTCAGTGAGTGAGCATATGACTGATGAATTCACTAATGAACAACACTCCAAGGGAAAAGCCACGAGGACTGTCTGGTGTATAGAATGAAGAGACTTTAACGGAAATTGCTAATCCTATCTCTGGAGCTGCACAACCTTAACCCTATTCTAATTAGTTCAGGAGTTATCTAAGCTTTTACAGCCACCATTAATGTTTGGGATGTCATTGATGGCGTTCAATCCACCCAGCAGTATTTCCAGCGTGAGTGAAACATGTTTATTGCAAGGAACTTTCAAACTCCGCTCCATGTAACGATGGAAATCTCCAGAAAAACGCATTACTGGCTTTGTGTTGCCGAACGACGGGTGAAAACCCCTCGCTTTTGATAAACAGTATGAGCCAACAAACCGGTCGCCTTAAAATACTTACGTATGGTTCACATCGGGGACATACGAATTCAATATACATTGGATTATGACCGTTATTTATGAGCGCTGACTTCGAAAATTAAATAACCAGATGCTGTTTGAGAACCAAAGATCGCGCTGCAAATATCGGTGCTCAAGCTGGGTTTGATTTTTTTATGCTACAACGCTAAGCCCGTGACCTATGGAAGCTTGTATAACACAGACTTTTGTTCAAGAATGGTGCATCAGTTTACACATAGACGTCGTCAATCTCCAAGCTGTAATGCGAAGGAACATGACAATAAGTCCACTGGACGGAATGAGCTGGACTGATGCTATCTTGCAGAATGTCAGCAAGAAAACGAAACAGTTATCTTGTGTTGGATACAGAGGCGGGAACAATAGAGCATGTGCACGTTTCACTGGTGTTAACGAGAAATCAAGTGAGATGGCATCCAGTCTGCTTAAGAGCCACCCGCAGAAAAAAGATGAGGTTTTGAGAATTGATTTTGACTTACTTGTTCACTTTTTAAGAAGCAGTGCTGTTTGCTGCAGTAACTAACTTTGAAACAACCAAGGTATGAATCCTTAAAGCAACGACCAAAGTATCTAGGTTCTGGAACATAATAATGATGCGTTAACACTGATAAAGTTGACGAAGTTCGCTAAAGGGCTCGAGAAAGTGCCCTCAAATAGTTCGGAACGTTAATTCTCACCTCGAGGAATCTGAAACACCAGCTGATAGGGGTCATTAAAAAAAACAGGCAGCTGTGTTAAGAAGATGAAAAATTGGGGACTTCTCCAAAACGCTATTTCTCGTATTATTCAGTGTTTTATTTTAGTATGGTCGAAGATTCAAGCCCAATATGCACAGCAGCGAGGTTCTCCGGTTGCCTTAATCAACGATATAAGTCTAGTCGTTTGCTTGTACGATCGATCGATGTTATTACTCTGAGAAGGAGCATTCTCTCCTTCCGCCCCAGTAGTTATGTGCTTGAGTACTGTAGTATTTTTCCACTTGTCCTCATTGTTGTATCATCACGTTTTGGCCAAATAGTGGTGAGCGATCAGCTTTTGCGTGTCTGCCCGCTGGTCCTATTCTCTTAGGTCTACAGCTGAATACTGTGGTTCACCGAGCACGCGCAAACATCCATTGCCCAGTTCGAATTGACTTCAGACACTCGACACAGCTATGGTTCGAATTAAGCTAAATAGCGACTCATGGTTTTTCTGTTGTGTCCAAATAGGACCACAATGCCTACTTTTGAAGGTCCGTGTGCAAACCTTCACTCTTACTAGGAGAATTAGTTTCTGTTGGCAAATTAACGAGCGCACACACTAAAAGTTGCTACTGTCAGTTGTCGAGTCCACGAACTGTATTTTGTTGCTCCGGGAAGAACCCTAAGCTCACGAAGCCACCTGGCGGGTCACAAAATGCATCTTGAATACAGATAGTAATGACGATCCTGGTTTCAAATACCCAAATTGTCCCCTTCATAGGCAAGGAGACTGTGATAACCGGTTGATACCAACCAATTCAAGCATTCTCAAGGGGAAACATCGGTTCAGGTAAGTTGACGTAATCCCACTTTCCATTGACCGCAGATCACATTTAATAAGGATGCTACCCGGTATGACGCACAAGTCTGTACCCAGACAATATGAGATCGTATCTATCCGCAGTAAGTCTGAAGTGGAAGTTGACTGACTATCCTATGCATTGGGCCGTTGTAAACTTTTGCATCTGGCTTATTGTTTCCTAAGATATTGAGATTTTCAGTCCACGCCATTTATTCTCCATTGTGCACTAAGTTCTCTTAAGAGAGTCAACGGCAGTTGTAACCAAAACTGATAAAATGGGTGCGACAAGAATGGAACCACATGTAGCCACAATATGCGTAGGTTTTAGCCAGCTGTGACTAACCGCAGAGTTGGAAAGAAGGCCATGTTATTTGAAAACCCACCTTGAACTGTTTATACGTTTCAATTTCATACACCTTCGTGCCAACTAAGAAGGAGGTCATAGTGATACTGTCTGTTCGCCAGTCACCGATGACAGTATTGTTCACGGCAGTACGTGGGATGATATCACAGTTCAGACAGGTTACTTTCAAAATGTAGCCCAAGTTGCTTCCGTAGTGTTCGATGTAGGGCATAGTCTGCAGGATAAGAGAAAAATCATGGGGGATGTATAGGGAATTAGTTGTAATATCAATACGTTGAATTAGTCTGTTGAATTTCGATCTGTTTACTGGATTCTTTATTCTATTTACAAGCGTGGCGCATTGAAACACTGTCGTTTGGTAGTGAGAGATCAGTGGCTTGAATGCCCTTCACCTAGGCATGCCATGCTTCTCGGCCTATCAAGATAGGTTGACCCTGTTTACAGGACGAATTCACGGAGCGAAATTGCACAATCTCTCTGAGTCATCAGCGAGACAAAAACAAACGCGAAAATTCCAAACGTTTCAGAACAGTCAGAGTGTTGAATGTTTTTGTATCAGTGAAGAACCTTAACCAGTTAGCTTAATGGTAACTAAAGATGAATCATGAAATGAAAAGTACCAATTTGTTAGGTGGAATGTAAAGCGTGCAAACATAAATTTGAAGACTGCATTCCTCATACAAAGGGAATACCCACCGTCCATTTTATGATCAGGTTGTTACGTAACGAGCCATAGACATAGAGCTCAGATGGATTGGTTGCTGGGACTCGAGCTGGAATTCCGCAGGCTGTGCTTGTTGCCACACTGGGTAGGGAGACACCGACGCGATTGCGTGTGCGAATTCGAAACTGATAGAGGATAGCTGGTCGGAGAACCACCTGCAACATACACATACAAAATATCATACTGATTTCGTTACTTTCACCTGGTTGGGAGTGGCATATGAGAATTGTGAGAAAAACTACGTCAGACGTAGCAAAGTGTCAATGGTACAGAGTGCTGATACAGGGAGACGCACTTTGATCGAAGTACTTTGCACCAAGCCGGTATAGTTGAAAATTTCAGCTGGATACCAAGTGTCGCGTTCATATTGCGTGGAATATTCGACAATATATTCCATAATGGGCGCATAATTGTCAGAGCCGGGATACCAGGAGACAAGAGCCAGTTCATCCTTGATAAACTCCGCACAGTTGACTTCGACACGAATAGCTTTCTCCGGTCGACCTAGGTAACACAAGATACATTTTTTTTTGAGATGATCTCACTGAATCATTACCTACAAAATCCAATTTAATTGGTCATAACCTACTATAATGAAGTTCGTAAACCCTTACTGCAAGCTTGGGGGTCCATAAAAGCCGGGTGAGAGGAAGCAATGAACTCGGGTTTCGCGGTTTGTAGAGCTCAAGAGCAGTGCAAACCCGTGGTGGTGCCAGGGTTTGAACTCGACATCACTGTCGATGAGCTCTGATGGTTGCAAAACTCGAGTCCAGTGCTTAGGTATCGGCTCATCGGAACAATTGTGCCAGGGCAGGAGGAGGACCGTTAGAATGACAGCGATGTGAATGTGAATTCTAAAAATTTCACAATCACCCACAACAAAAAGGGAAACATTCGCACTAGAAAACTCGCAACCTGGCCAATACGGACAACGAGACAACTAATTCAAGTAGAATTCGGAGTGGGATTCGACAGGTATTAGTTTGGACCACTGTCCCTAAAACTGTATTACACTTATGAAGCCACTAACCGGGGGCTGGAAGCTGTGGGCTGCCTATTGGTTTTGTGCTCTATTCTCAAGGTCTGGCGGTTGTAAACTGCAAACTCTGGACATTTTTCTTGGCAAGGTCTTTGAAAGTAGTAGTACTTTCTATTTGTGGTTCACAGTTATAGCGGAACCATCTTTTCTTCCTCAGTTGGGCTTAGACTTTCCCAATATCTCCAAGATTCAAGGTCAACTGTATATAACGGCTGCACGCATTGAAGGCTTTTTACGCTCTCCCACGAAATGCACCTTTGTGAACTTCGGATAGTCAATGAGAAATCAGTTTAAAAGGCTCGATGCCATGGTTAAGTGATTGGTACCGAGATATTTCGCGGACCAGACTGTTGCGCTGTCCGAACGTTAGCAGAAGGCTTATCCAAGCAACGATATACAAAGCAATATGACTTGGTTGGGGCGTTTGACGAGCTTTCAGTTGTGTTTCCCCGGAGATTTAGAACATTAGTGCTGTCATGCTCTAAAGACAGAAAATCTAGAAAAATGTGGTGAATTTAGAAGAGATCACTTCAAAAACTATCGCGGCGAAGGTGATGGTACCGTCACCTATATCGGTTAGACTTGATGCGAATCCACAAGAGCTTTGCATGACTCCAACAATATATTCATGGAGCATCTGATCGTTCAACGCATACCACGTCTGTTATCAAAATTTCAATCCAATTTCTTGGCTAAAGTCTATCTTGAATCTCCGAGGGTAGAAATTTAACTACTTGGTGGTTTGCTGTCCGTCAGTTTGATTTTCCTTTTTAGCTCTCCTTGTGTTTAAGAGAGGGCGACCTCAGCAGTTTCGATACTTTGTTTTAGATTTGGCTTGGTTTGTGAAACGTGACACATTTTGACAGGCAAATCGATGAAGTTTAAATAAACGACTCACATATCAGATTTGTTCGAAAAATTGCTTACCTATTGTATCAAACTGTTCTTTCATACCACCGAAGGCTAAATTTTGTTGCAGCTGAGATGGTCAAGCTGTCCTTGAAATTTGATTCGAAGGAGAGGACAATCGGCTAAGAAGCTGACCTGTGCGGACTAGTTTTTGGTTGTTCACCCAAGTCTCACCGTACTGCAAGCAACTCAGAGACTACCGAAAGTATTTTTCCAATCTGTGATGGTCATTATGGTCTTTTTTGATTGGCAATGTCAGCCATTTCTTGACCAACCTAGAGCAACTCACTGGAACAGAATAGAACGAGTTCACAGGATGAAGAAAGGCTGATAGTAGACGCGTCACACTCGAGATTGGTTAATCAAACCGCCTTAAAAACCGAAAGTAACCGCGAAACGTGGCTTGGGATTAATCAACCCTCTAGTTGTACGATCACTCACGTTGAGGAACTAAATATGGAGTTCCCAGCTCATCTCTTCTTAGGCCGTCTCCAGAAACCTTCTTCTTTTTGGTCGATAGTGATTCTCCGGATGATATCCACAGAGAACCAGCACAGCTTAAACCCTGATAACGGTTGCGGTTCTGACGTGCTAGCCCCGGTCGTTTTCTACATGTTTGCTGGCTTGTTAAACATATACTTCCCCAAGTTGGTTGCGTAGATAGTGCAGGCCAAAACTTCATTCTAAAAAACCATTCCCTTAACTTTTGCCGGATTGCACGCACTTTTCAGCTACCCAAGAATACCGTAAACAAAATGAATTTCGATGATAGCTTCCGGTTTGCGTATGGACGTTCGGCTCTACGTTTGACGAGGCGATATTCTGTCCCTTGAGTGAAAGACGGAAATATTTGCATAGCTACTGTTTCTCCAGTAGATAGATACCTTCGGATGCTGCAATCAAGGTTATTTACCAAAGCTTTCTTTTGACAGTGGGCCTGACCATGGTTCCATTAGTATTTCGGGCGATTACCTCATTGGTCCGGCGCACTCTGCTTTCTACAACGGCCGTAATGTCTGTCTGTTTCCAGCTTCTTAAATGATTAATCTGTCTCCTTACTTGTTCATTTGCATCAAAAGTCTTTTACTGCCCCTTCTCTGAATAGTTGCGAAAATGAAAATGACTTCGTTATTGAGTGCCAATAACGGAGACCATTTCTCAGCTCCAGAAATCTCTTGCTGCCTTTAACAGCCAGTCTTAATTACGACCTCTTTCCTTAAATTCACTGAAGTAGTGAAAGTTTCCCTTCTGTCCTGTTTGTGGTACTGGTTACCGTTCTCGACACGTCAATTCTCACAGCGTTATTGCTAACAAGATGCATATTAAGAAGCCCCCTTTCTAATGATTAGGTTCGATTATATCCCGTAACCTTGGTTCTATTTGCCGAGTTTGGCAGCTGCATTGTAAACGTTTCATTACCACTTGAGGTTGCATCGTCAGTGCAGGGTCGAGTGGGGCCGACTCTCACCCAGATCGGCTTCTAAAATCTGAGTGCTCCTCAACTTGCGTATGCCGATCTACCGAAGTCTATTTAAACATCCAACCCGCGCTTTAGGTTTGAATAAAATTCTACACGGACTACTGATTAGTAAGTTCCAGTGTCTCACCTGGCGGGTACGCCTGTACATCACTACATTTACGTGTATGATTCTAAAATACGACTTGTTCCGAAAATCAACTATTTTTTGAATTCCCATTAAAGTTATTCAGTTTATCACCCCCGTTTTACCTCCGTTGTACTGAGAGCGTCAAAGATTTACCATCTGGTGGTGCACGAAGCCTGACTTGGCTCCACGAATACAGACGTAAAACAGCATGCCTATCAGTTGTTTTCTGGAGAAAAAAGTCGTCGGCTCTGATTGGTAAAATGGTGCCGGAAATTTGTAGAGCCTACCTGTTCAAGGAAGTAAAGTGGACGATATCTAGGTAACCAGTTGGCATGCGCAGGTTAGTGCGTGATAAAATTCCACACTTTGTGTTGAAATTTAGTTTGAAACTAGCGTGCTCACCTTGGACCAGAAGAGACGCGGATGCTACAGCATAGTCTAAGCCATTGCTGGCATTACAGCGATATTGCCCCGTATCTCTGGGTTGGGCTCCACTCAGAACCAGCGAGTAATCAAACCAAATCTGTTGAATCCGAGGAGTCAAACTGGGTTCAATCAAGTTGTCATCTTTGTACCAAGTGATTTCCAGATTTTGCAGTTCCATTGGGTCGGTTTCAGCAGTGCAGACGAATTTCACCACCTGGTCTTCGTAAACTTGTGTATCTATGGGTGCCAATACAATGCTTGTTCGACGTCGGACTAGCAGACGACCAGAGGCCTTGCGACTGCCAAAGGGATTTGTTGCCGTACATTCATAAACACCGGAATCGGTGATGGCGACCGACTTTGGGTAGATGCAAAAAAATGGATTGGGAAAAGTCAATTCGGCCTGTTCAACTTTTGAAATCGTTGGGTCTATTCGAATTTTGCTCTAAAAGCTACTAGAAGGAGTAAGCTCCTTCGAAAATGCTCAGTGTTCACAAAAAACACTTATCTAACCATCCAGGAGATCAACAACATACAGAGGACGCACACTGTTGTTCTACTGAACATAAACTTGGTTGAGTTTTTAATACTAGGACTCCGAAGTCAAATTTTATTGAATTTCAAACTTCACAAGCTGCATGGAAAGGTAATTAAACTTCAACTTGTTGGCTGTTCCTGACCGAAGAACTCTTCAAATCCAAGATTTCTGTTGGTTAATTTCCATAACTTCGTCATTTTGCTTCAGTCAGTCCAGGTGTGTAGGAGACGCGTAGCAGGCCACTTATCTGGGATCGACCATTTCTGTTCTGTGAGTAAGTTAACCTGAAGGCCATAAGGTTCATCGAACATTTATGGCTTTTCACTGTACTTTGTACCATCGTGACTAGAAATTGTCTTATATTATCGATAATTTCGAACTGGAGGAAATTCCTCATGGCTGATCGTCAGACATGAGTACATGCATGTCGTACCTTTCTTCGGAATTGTTGAGTTGCAAAAATCCAAAGCTATCTGTTGTTGGAAGTCTGCAATAGATATTGTTCTGTTCGTCAGCTACATTAAAGGCCGAATTGTACGACATGCATGTACTTGCTCTGCGTCTGAGGTGTGTGGGATATGCGATATTCATATAACAGATCACACTTCTGTGTTACACAAGTTATCGCAAGAGTTCGAGGTGCGCTCCCTCGGCTTTTTACGCAGAGGTGGCTGAAACCATATTGTCAGCATTGGCGGACATTCCCTGTGTGCCTAAGTCAGCTGCCTAAGACAGCTGGTTCTGCTGCACGAATTTTTTTTGCTGCGTGAAGCGTTTGTGACTTACGGATTTTCCATTTTCAGAACATCTATTCATTTCGAAGCTTCAGCGAAACAATGTTATACGTTCAACAACGTATTTAACAATTTTTCCAACTGCAGTAAGCGGAATGGCGACAACTGACGAGTGCTGTGAGAAGGTAGTCTGGTTAATTTCTAGAGTGCTATCCGGAAAAATGACGCGTGTGCAGAAAAATGGAAAACTACCTTGAAAATATAAGGCCAAAAACTGATGCTTTCCAGTTGTGACAAGTTGGAACTGATTTACCCAACCTTTTTGTCTAGAACCGCTTTCGATGCGCTTTGATTCAGCGTTTGAATGACACCGTGCACACAGAGACTTGGTTTAGGAGTCGTAAGATTGATTATTCTAGCTACTTGGTTGGCTAATGTGTCGCAAGTTTCCCGTCAGGTCAATGTCAAGACTATCAGCCTGAACTGCTGGTTGTCCTCTTCAAATCTCAACTTATACTACCGGGTTGCAATAGCTAGAGGTAGTCAGGCTTGATCCAATGCAAGAACACATGTAAGGCGTATATGCATATCACACACTACTACAGGTCGCTTATTTTGCAGTCCGAGAAGGCACCATAAACCATTTCGACAGAAACCGATTTTGTCTGTGTGGATGTCATGACGGTTCCCGTCTTTGATATTTATTGTTTCCGAAACTTGGGTATATTGCACGCCAAATATAGAAGTTATCAAGAGAAATTACGGTGATACTTAGTCTTGCTATGCAATATATGTGTGGAAGGCGATCCATTTAGGACTTGGTTTCATGCATCGCAATAGTTTGTGTTGCTAGCTGTCACCGAAGGGCATTCATACATACAGGATGAGTTTCAATGCCTAGATTTCTGTAAGCAGATTTCTGTGCGTGAAGCTTGCTTTGATAAGTGCGTGCAAAATCCCATCAGGCATAAACGTAGCGAAACCAGTGGAGGAACTCTACCGAGATTTTCAGATCCCCAGTGATAAGGCTTCGATATCGACCACCGCTGATAGGACGTCCATCCTTCGTCCAGGAAATCAGGGCTTTGGGGGCAGAAAACGTTTGGCAGTGTATGATAACCTCATGTCCGTCTACAACGCGTTGCTCCGCCTGGGGTGGTTTGATGAAGTAAGGGGGCTCACGCATCACATTCAGGTAAGCATTAACAAAATCGTAACCAAATGCGTTCGATGCGTTGCACTGGATAACGGCTGTGTCTTTGACTGTGAGGTTGTACAGATGCATGACCTAAAAAAGGAAAAACAATTGTAAAGTATATCTGTAAAGTATCTGAACCCTAAACTATTTTAACACGTGCGAAGCCAACCAAAATTTAAAATTTCAAGTGGTCCTCGGGGTTGATGTTTACTAATATCGCTATAAAATTAAAAGAATCGATTTGGGGGCATTGATGCGATTTCAGCCCAAGCAGTGCAATTGCTCAATTAGATTTAATTAAGATATTGGTTCCCGGGCTTTTTGGGTCGCAACCCCTTTCCTCTATTGCCCAGTAGTTGGCGATGCCTCCAGGAGTTATCCCGTCACCTTTCTAAATTCGTAACTCGTTGTCCCGATAGTTTGTGGTTTGATGGCAATTCTCATGTTTACAAGCGCCAGATACGAGACTGGGGATTTCTAATCCTGATTATTTGTGAGCACGCTCGGTACTAATCCTTGTAATACCGTTTAAACCAGGATAGGTTGCCATTCCGACAGTCTAGCTTCACATTATGACCATCAAGCACATGACCTAAATTGGCGACAGGTCGCTTGGTTTTACTGTGCATTTAACAGACTTCGTAGCTCGACAGCTACGCTCATTGGCATATCAATTTGATTTCCACGGCAGGCTCAACTGATTCTCACGTTTTTGGCATTCGTAGCTTTTTGTAACACGGAGAAGCTGGTAACCAGTATTGGTTTATTTTGTCCATGATGAATAAGAGTATGGAAAAATGACATCCTAGTTTATTTGTATCTCTGTGCCGCTGACTTCATTGTTCGAGAGGCTCGATAAGTTGCGTTTTTAATGTTACGCCAGTCATCAATCAAAATTATCCGAAATGATTTTTTGCATCTGGTTTCATAGGACCAAAGAAGTTCTTCACATTTCATGACACATCCCATTTCTAAGTCAAGTCAACTCAACAGGAGGTTAGTTAATACATGAAAAATTCAGTTTTCCATTGTGATGGCTGCTGAAGATGTTATCTAATTTCTTCTACATGTTGTTTGAGGATTCCGTGTTGTGCTGATTCTGGCTGGCACACAGGGGAATCCGGGAAACTCGACCTAAAGCTGCCACCTTGAGTGCTGCAATGATCCCGCGGGCTACACTGGCTGGAACTTCGTTCCACAAGGTACAACCATGCCAGGAAGGCCAAAGGGGAGCAGCGAGAACCCCACTACGAGTAATCGTGGTACGAGGCGGTCTGGGGGTAAAGTCGTGCTGTCCTCTGCGACAGGAGTGTGAAGGCAGTAAGGTGTTTCCCCCAGGCGAGCAGCATGTCTATATTTATGGAAGCAGCGATGCTGCCTTCCCCCGAGGAAGGACGGGTTAGAAAAGGTCGGCCCCAAAAACCGCACACTCCGATCGCCCAACGGTTGACCGTGACCGCCGGCGCATTATCCGATACGGTCGAAATACTTTTAAAACCAAAGAGCCCGGTGCTGCTCAAAAGGCACCTGCTGTGCGCAGCCGCATCAGGAATGAGACAGTAATGCCTTATTCCCTGCGCCCTCGGGTTAGGCCAACCCCCTGCAGCCGAGC